TGGACGGGGAAGGTTGGCGATGCGTCGCGTTTCCGGGTCTGGGGTGCTCGTGCCTTTGTCCGCGATACCACTGCGGACAAGCTCTCCGCCCGCGCTGTTCCCTGTGTCTTCCTTGGCTTTGTCCCTGACGCGCCTGGTTGGCAATTTTACCACCCCACCTCGCGCCGTGTCTTTGCGTCTCAGGACGTCACGTTCGACGAGTCGGTTCCCTTTTACCGTCTCTTCCCCTACCGCACTGCCCCGCTCCCCCCCCGCCGCTCTTCCTCGCTCCAGGTGCTCCCCAGGTAGACCCCCTCCCCGCTCCAGGTCCTGCTCCTTCAGGTGTGTCTCAGGTAGACCCTCCTCCCTTGTCTGCGCCGGTTGAGGTCACTGGTGACTCAGGTCCTGCTGAGGGTGGTCCTGCTCGGGGTGCTACTTCTGGGGGTGCTGAGCCTGGGGGTGCGGAGCCTAGGGGTGCTGAGCCTGGGGGTGCGGAGCTTGAGGGTGTGGAGCCTGGAGGTGCTGAGCCTGAGTGTGAGGGGTCTGGGGGTGCTGAGCTTGGCAGTACTGAGTCTGGGGGTGCTGCGCCTGGGGGTACTGAGGCGTCTGGTGAGCAGTCTCCCTGGAGTGGCCGTCTCCGTAGTCGCTCCGCTGGTGCCTCGCCGCTGCCCTCTCGTCGTCGACTCCCCCTCTCCTCCCTACAGCGGGTTGAGTGGTACCTTGACCGTCAGGGCCGCGCTGCTGGAGCTGGTGACTCTGCTCCTGGAGCTGTTTTTTTTTTGGGCTCTGCTGCTGCTGAGGGTGCGGGCGCTGGAGGTTCTGGTGGTGCTGAAGGTCCTGGTGCTGGTGGCGCTGGAGCTGGGGGTTCTGGAGCGACTGACGGTGCTGACGCTGAGGGTTCGGAGTCTACTGTTGCGCGGTCTCCTTGGAGTGGCCGCCTTCGTCCACGTGTGCCTGTCACCTCACAGCAGCTGCACGACTGGTACGGTCGCCGTCTGCCTCGCGCTTCTGGAGCTGGGGGCTCTGCTGCTGGAGGTACTTCTGCTGACGTCACTGGAGCTGGGAGTGGTGCTGGTCTCGGAGGTACTCGTACTGGGGGTACTGGTGCTACTGGGGCTGGAGGTGCTGAGCCTGCGGGTGCTGCTGCTGGGGACACTGCGGCTGGAGACCCTGGGACTGGGGGTGCCGGTTCTGGGGGTGCTGCTACTGGTGACGCTGAGTCTGGAGGTGCTGGCGCTGGAGGTACCGGTTCTGCGGCTGGAGCTTCTGGAGCTGCTGGAGGTGCTGGAGCGACTGGAGACGCTGGAGCTACTCGAGGTGCTGGAGCTGCTGGTGCTGGTGCAGCTGCGCCGACACGACTGTTCTTCGCTCCGCCGTCTCCGTCGTCTCTGCCGCCGCCTGACTCTGCTCTTCGTCAGGTTGTTACTCTCCCGTCGTCTACTGGTCTTCCGTTACAGCCTGGCTCACCGCTGCCTGCTCCCTCTCCTTACACTGAGCAGACAGGTAGTCTTGCTGAGCGTCGTGAGCCTGCGTCGCGTCCTGTCTCGCCTGTTCGTCCTTGTCGTCCCGTTCGTCGTGTTCCTCGTCAGCGTCAGCCGGCTGTCCCCGGCACACCCCTTGTAGCCCTGCGTCGGTCCTCCCCTCCGGAGCGTACTCCTCTTCCGTCTCCCCCTGCGTCCTCTTTGCCTGTCGTCGCGGACCCTGAGTCTGACCGGTTTCGTGCTGAGCACCCTACTGTCACGCGTCTTCTAGCCACTGTTGTCATTGACCCGTCGTTTGAGTCTGCTGCTGCGTCTGCCCTAGTCGCTGAGCTTGTTGACTTTGCTGCTGCCTGTCGTCTAGACTTCGCTGCCAGTCTTGTTGCTGAGTCTGAATCTGTCTGTCCTCCGTCCGTCGGGGGTGAGTGTGCTCTTAGCACGGACGTCCTTGAGGACAGGCACGAGGACCTTGAGTGTCTTGCAGCCGCTGCGCCTCATCTCGTGGCCATGCTGCTTGCCCCTGAGGGAGACCCAGATGCACCAGACATCCCGACCCTGCGCTCTTACGCTGAGGCGATCGCGGGTGAGTACTCCTCTCAGTGGCAGACAGCCATGGACGCAGAGATGGCATCCTGGAAGTCCACAGGCACTTACGTCGATGAGGTTCCCCCTTCTGGGGCGAACATCGTCGATGGCATGTGGATTTTCAGGGTGAAGCGGCCGCCGGGTTCTCCGCCTGTCTTCAAGGCTCGTTACGTTGCTAGAGGCTTCAGTCAGCGAGAGGGAGTTGACTTCTTCCAGACCTTCTCCCCTACCCCGAAGATGACCACTCTTCGGGTACTGCTGCACGTTGCCGCTCAGCGTGACTACGAGCTTCACTCTCTTGACTTCAGCACAGCCTTCTTACAGGGCAGCCTGCACGAGGAGATCTGGCTGCGCCGCCCACCTGGCTTCACTGGGTCTTTCCCTCCTGGTACCCAGTGGAGCCTCCAGCGGCCAGTCTACGGTCTCCGCCAGGCACCTCGTGAGTGGCACGACACACTGAGGACTACACTTGCGGCTCTTGGGTTCGCTCCTTCGACTGCTGACCCGTCGCTGTTTCTGCGCACCGACACTTCCCTGCCGCCGTTCTACATCCTCGTGTACGTCGACGACCTGGTCTTTGCCACTGCTGACACTGAGGCTCTCGCTCAGGTGAAGTCGGAGCTGCAGAAGAGACACACGTGCACAGACCTGGGTGAGCTGCGCAGCTACCTTGGCTTGCAGATCACCCGGGACAGAGCACGCCGCACCATCACCCTGACTCAGTCACACATGGTGCAGCAGGTCCTTCAGCGCTTCGGCTTCTCCTGGTCCTCCCCACAGCACACTCCTCTGGCTACAAGTCACTCGCTCTCAGCTCCACCTTCGAACGAGTCCGTAGAGCCGAGTGGTCCTTACCCAGAGTTAGTTGGCTGCCTCATGTACCTGATGACTTGCACTCGTCCTGACCTCGCGTACCCTCTTGGCCTCCTGGCTCGCTACATGGCTCCTGGTCGGCACCGACCTGAGCACATGGCTGCTGCTAAGAGGGTACTGCGTTACTTGTGCAGTACATCAGGCATGGGGCTAGTGCTTGGAGGACGGAGTGAGGTGGTGCTCACTGGGCACTCAGACGCGTCTTGGGTTGACGACCAGACTACACAGCGGTCGTCACAGGGTTACACCTTCAGCCTTGGCTCTAGCTCTGTTTCTTGGCGGTCTACACGCTCGTCTTCTGTTCTCAGCTCCACTTGTGAGGCTGAGATCTACGCCACCGCCATGGCTGCACAGGAGCTACGCTGGCTGACCTACCTGCTGACTGACTTGGGTGAGCGGCCTCGTTCTCCTCCAGTTCTGTACGTTGACAACAAGGCGGCCATTGCCTTGTGTGAGGAGCACAGACTGGAGCACAGAACGAAGCACATCGCTCTGCGTTACTTCCTGGCTCGAGAGTTGCAGCAGCGAGGTCAGCTTCGTCTTCGTCACGTGGCCACTCGGGCCAACACTGCTGATATATTCACCAAGGCACTTCCGTCTGGTGATCATCAGCGCTTTTGTACCCTGTTAGGCCTTGTGCCTACGTTTCCACACTTGCTGTAGTCTTTGGTTGTACTGTGATCTATATATATATGTTCTGCATGCTTGCCCTTGCTAGGTAGTGATCACTGCTCTATTGTTGTTGCATATATATATACCTCTGCATGTGAACTGGCCTTGTGGCCCTTTGCTTGTGCTCAGAGAGTGTGGTGACGTTGTGATCCACCCTGAGCTTGCTTTGCTTCTCTTGACTGGTCGTGTGACCCTTGTTCTCCCCCACTTTGCCTATGGGGGTGTGTCAAACATATATGCTGCTTATTGTGTAGGCTGTAGTGGGGTAGCCCATATGGGGTACAACCCAAATTAGGGTTTACTACTTGTACTCTTGCATCCTTCTAGTGCAATCATTCCTGCTGCTAGATTCTAACATGTTTGTGTGTGTGTGTGTGTGTGTGTGTGTGTGTGTGTGTGTGTGTGTGTGTGTGTGTGTGTGTGTGTGTGTGTGTGTGTGTGTGTGTGTGTGTGTGTGTGTGTGTGTGTGTGTGTGTGTGTGTGTGTGTGTGTGTGTGTGTGTGTGTGTGTGTGTGTGTGTGTGTGTGTGTGTGTGTGTGTGTGTGTGTGTGTGTGTGATACGTGCGTGTGTGATGCGTGCGTGCGCGTGCGTGTGTGTGCGCGTGCGTGTGCGTGCGCGTGCGTGTGCGTGCGCGTGCGTGTGCGTGCGCGTGCGTGTGCGTGTGCGTGAGCGTGCGCGTGCGTGCGCGCGCGTGCGTGCGCGCGTGCGTGTGCGTGCGCGTGCGTGTGCGTGCGCGTGCGTGTGCGTGCGCGTGAGCGTGCGCGTGCGTGCGCGCGCGTGCGTGCGTGCGCGTGCGTGCGTGTGCGTGCGTACGTGCTTGCGTGCGTGTGTGAGCGTGCGTGTGCGTGCGTGTGCGTGTGTATGCGTGTGCATGTTCGTGTGCGCGCGCGCACGCGTACGTGTATGTGGGGTGTGTGTGGGTGTGTGTGTGTGTGTGTGTGCGCGCGCGCGTGCGCGTGTGTGTATGTTTAGAGTTCCATTGTAATTTTTAGCGATATCTTGATGAATCAGTGCTACAAGTTCACCTCCATCTTGATCTGCCAGAGTGCTTATTTCAATTCATACTGAGCCAGGATGTGATCTTTTTCGGAAGTCTAACTTATGCTATTCATCCTTACCATGGCCCCTGTTACCACCCACATTTCAAGAAATCGGAGTATTTTTCATTGATAGCTGATGTGTATATATCTTAGAGAAAAGTAGCTTGTAGTCAACTATGACTATATTCCCTACGCAATAGCGAGTAGACCGTTCCTGGATGCTTGCATGCCAGCCAACCCACACTTCAAATCAGCTAGCAGATTTTCACGAGGTCACGGCGCGTACTGACAGTCGCGGTGCTATTATTTCTTTCTACCTAGGATAGTACTCTCCCAGATAGTTCCCCTGTGGTTGTCATATTCGTCCACACCATGTACTCCCTATCAATCGTTCCGTCTGTGGCTGCTCCTTTCCTTCGCTTCCTTGTGCTCCTGTGCGCGCTGTTACCACTCGCCGTTTCCGCCACGAAGCCCAACGTCATACCGGGCGGCGTGCAGAAAATCGCCGACTTCGCGAACCGCGAGGACCTGCAGGCGTTGGCGGCGTTCGCCGTGCAGCAGCACAACGAGAAGGAGGTGCGCTGCGCCGCGCGTCGCTTCGCTTATGGCCAAAACAGAGAGGGATCCGGAGGGAGGGAAGGGGCCAGGAGAAAGGGGATGAGTGATAGGGATGGGATATCAAGCGACGGGGTGGACACAGCGAGTGTCGCCGTTCTTATGCTCGGCTGCTTCTGAGCCGCATCAAGAGACGTGGTCTCAGCGAGTGCCGCCGGCTTGTGCTAGGCTGATGCCTCCACATATGCTTCCGCTCCGCCCTTGGCCTCCCGCTCCTGCCTCACTCTTTCCATCGTAGGAACGATTCGCGACACACGCGCGCACGCGCACGCGCCTGAGCTCGCGGCGCAGCTTGAGCCGCTGCCTGCTGACCGTACTCGCCCTTGCCTCTCGTCGCTCGCCCTAAATCCTCTCCCCGTCCCTTGTCCCTTTTCCCCACCCCACTTTCCCTTTCCCTTCCCCCCGCCTGCCTTCCCTCTTTCCCCCTTTCCCCGTCCCCATCCCCCTGCGGGGAGCGCAGGGCACAGATCTGCACCTGGTGCGCGTGGAGGGCGCGCAGCAGCAGGTAGTAGCGGGCATCCTCTTCCACTTCACGCTGCTCGCCACGTCGCCCTCATCCCGCCGCACAGCACAGTACAAGGCGACCGTGTGGGAGCGCGCGTGGCAGAAGTTCAAGGCGCTGCAGGCCTTCGCGCCCGTGCCTGGCACTGACCGCGCTGCTACTCCTGCTGAGCTCCACGCTGCCGGTGGTAGTGCCGCTGCTGCTGCTGCTGCTGCTGCTGGTGCTGAAACTGAAACGGCTGCTGGGACTGCGGCTGGTGGGATGGCTGGTGGTGCTGATAGCGGTGGTGGTGGTGGTGGTGGTGAGGTGGGGTGTGGCAAGGCGGCGAGGGACGGTGGTGAGGACGCAGGGGTGGCGGCAGCGGCGGGCGAGGCACAGGGCACATGCAGCAACAGAGATGGGGCAGGTGGGCCTCATGCCATATCAACTTGCCACATGCGTGCTCGATGTCTCCTCACCTTACCTGCTTGCTCTTCGCACGGGTGCTCTGTTGGCGCCTAACCACCCAATCCCAATCATTCGCCCTCGTCCTTGTGGCCCTTCTCTCATGTGCACGCTTACCACTTCGCCCCGCCGTGCCAGCGTACCACTTGATAAACTCTTTTGCCAATGTATCTCCTCACAACTCATGCGCCCGCTTCCTTTTGCCCCTCCCTCCCTCCCTCACACTTGCTCCACTGGTCTTTGCCCCAGCAACTTTCTCAGCAGCATTTCTTGTTTCGATCTCCTTTCTTTGTTGTCATATCTTCCTTCAGCCCCTATCAAGAATCCTCTTTCGCCCCACCCTCTTTCCCTCTCCATGCTCCACTCCACATACCACCCTCCTGGGACCTGCCTTCCCCCTCTTCATGTCCTCCCCTCCCGGGCGTCCATCCCTCCTTCTCCCTCCTGCCCCATCCACAGCGCATTCATCCCCCACGGTGCTCGAGGCAGCAGAGCGCGCCGTGGCAGCGAGATGACTGTTGAGTCGACTTAAAAGACGTCCATCCCTCCCTCTCCCTCCTGTCCATCCACAGTGCATTCATCACCCGTGGTGCTCGAGGCAGCAGAGCGTGCGGTGGCAGCGCTGCAGCAGCGTTCCAACTCGCTCTACCCATACCGCCTCAAGGAGGTCGTTGCAGCGCTTGCCACGGTACGTGTTCGTGTTGTGACTTTACTCAAAGCAGCACCGCTCCAACTCACTCTTTCCGTACCACCTCAAGGAGGTTGTTGCAGCGCTTGCCACGGTATGTACATGCTTTCACTCGACTCAAAGCAGCGCTCCAACTCGCTCTTTTCATGTCGCCTTAGTGAGGTCGTTGCAGCGCTCGCAACGGTACGTGTGCGTGCTTTGACTCAACTCAAAGCAGCGCTCCAACTCGCTCTAGGAGGTCTGAAGGGTCGGAAGGAGGTCTCAAGGAGGTCTCAAGGAGGTCGTTGCATCGCTCGCCACGGTACATGTGTTGACTTGACTCATAGCAGCAGTGCTCCAACTCGCTCTTCCCATGCCGCATAAGGAGGTCGTTGCAGCGCTCGCAACGGTACGTGTGCGTGCTTTGACTCGACTCAAAGCAGCACTCCAACTCGCTCTAGGAGGTCTGAAGGGTCGGAAGGAGGTCTCAAGGAGGTCTCAAGGAGGTCGTTGCATCGCTCGCCACGGTACATGTGTTGACTTGACTCATAGCAGCAGTGCTCCAACTCGCTCTTCCCATGCCGCATAAGGAGGTCGTTGCAGCGCTCGCCACGGTACACACACAAGGGCCAGTGCCGCTGCGCTGGGGATGGGGTTGCCTGTGTGGCTGGGGTTGGGGTGCGGTGGGGTGGGAGGGGACGTGTGAAAGATTGCGGATGAAGTTTGAGTGAGTTGTGTGCGTGGAGTGGAGTGGAGTGGAGTGGAGTGGAGTGGAGTGGAGTGGGTGAGTGATAGCTACTTGCAGGGCCAGGGGACGGATGGGTGCAGCAGCACAGCAGAGTCACGAAACGGGGAGTGTGGCAGCAGTATAAGAACTTTCTGGCTTGCCTTCCTTGTCGTTTCTGAGCACCTCCAGTGACCCTCCTTGCCTCCACTGCTATGCATTCCACTCCACCCCCTCGCCCTTCTCCCTCCTGAGCAGCATCATCACCAGAGCAGGGCACGACGATGTTCCACCTGACGCTTTGAGGCGCCTCAAAAGTACACTCCGCCCCGTCCCCCTTCTCTCTCCCTGCAACCAGCAGCATCAGCTTCATCTGAACAGGGCACGACGATGTTCCACCTGACGCCTATTCTGTTGCGCCCCAAAGGTACTCTCCACCCCGTCCCCCCTTCTCTCCCTACAGCCGGCAGCAGCAGCGTCATCATCAGAGCAGGGCACGACCATGTTCCACCTGATGTTGAAATTGAGGCGCCTCAAAGGTACACTCCACCCCATCCCCCCTTCTCTCCCCCTGCAGCCGGCAGCATCGTCATCATCAGAGCAGGGCACGACCATGTTCCACCTGACGCTGCGCCTGCAGCGCGAGGTACCCCCCCAGGCGCAGCAGCAGCAGCAGCAGCAGCGGTGGTGGGGGCGTTACCAGACGAGCTGTACGAGGTGGAGGTGCTGCACTCGCCCAACGGCCAGTGGTCCCTGCGCAAGGCTGTTGCGCTGCAGTGAAGTCACTCACTCATGCTTCCCTTGCTTTCTTAGCTGCATTGTCTGGAACACTCTGCTGAGTGGTCGGTTCCAGTCGTAGACGTGTTGATTCTCTTTCTTCCCACTCTTTCTATTGTAGTTTTGCCACTAGTTAACGTGATCTTTTTTGGAATACCTCAAAAATATTAGACAAGAGAACACACAAATCTAGTTGGTACACCTCAGCTACTGCACCAAGACTCGGTCCGGTACCATCAACCATTGGCCTTTCAAATTGGGCCACAATTATAACGAACTGCAACTCACGGCACCGCTCCAGTGGCTTGCTGATAACCCCTACTGCTGGCCAACGTTGAAACTCATCCTCTACTCGTGGCAAATCATACCGGTATGTGAGCCACGGTGAGCTCTGGCAGGTGTTCCAAACAGACAGTGAGGCACAGCGGGTGAAAGCTGTGCACAAAAGTCAGAGACTGCTTTTCCTGCTAGTAATGTAGAGACAGGACTGGTGGAGTTGCAGGGTACTGTAGAAGTCAACAAAACCTCTGTGGAGCAGCAGCGGAGGGAGAGCAGCACGGGGTGGGGTTGCTCCTGGCAGTGGGCAGCATGAGCATCAGCAATGGTGGTGGTGCGAGCAATCAAGGCAGAAGAACCGATCCATGCGAAGGTCATAGCTGCGGACAGAGAGGGGGCGGGAGGGAAAAGGGAAAGGAGGGGGGGGGAGGAGGGAAGTGGGCGGAAAGTGCAGATGAAGGGAGGCGAACGAGAGAGTAGAGTGCAAGGGACCTGAGGAAGGTGAGGGCACTGGGATTTGGTTGCTCATGGAAAACGAGTGGAGCCGTTGGCAGGGAACGAAGCTTAGAATAGAAGGTCCATGTTAGCACATGGTGAGTGCCACACTCGAAGACACGTATTTTACAATTGGTGTCATGCTTGCAGAAACACGCTCAATCGATGGGATGCGATTGGATTCGAGTAAATTCGAGTTCGATGAGAACCACGTGGTGCGGAATCAAAGCGGAACAGCGAAGGAGAAAAACAAGGGGTTGAGAGCGGAGTGGTTACTTTGTAACGGAGCAGTTGTCGCAGAAGGGCTGGTTGCAGGCAGCGCAGATACAGGTGCAGCGGCAGCAGAGAGCATGACTGCCAGTGGAATGGGAAGGGCGGGATGGTTGGGGTGATTGCGATGGGTCAAGGAGAGGAGTGTTTCTTGCGTGCTGCTTGCATTTGCGCTACGTTTGCATGATGATTAAAAAAAGATGCACATGCGTGTGTGTGTGTGGTGGCGAGGGGTATATGTGGCATGGACGAGGGAGGAAAAACCGCGGATCACGTCAACAGGAAGGCTGAAGGGCTGAGACGGTTTGGGGATGGTGAGAGGAGGGGAGTCAACCTGTGCAATTGTCACCTCGCGCCAGGCTAGCACACTCACGCACACTCACTCACAGTCACGCACAGCCACACACACTCGCGCACACTCATACATACTCACGCACGCTCACGCAACACTCGCGCACACTCGCGGACACTCACGCACGCTCACGCGCACTCAGAGGGCACGGCATACCTGCACCGCATGCATGCCCCGCCACGGTGCGCTGCACTCCCTCCGTCCCCACAACAGCACGCGCGGACCCCACTGTTGGCTACTCCCCCCAGTCCACTCCCTGCGCCGGCCCGCCCCGCCTGCCCCTCCGCGCGCCTCTGCTGCCCCACTGCCGCCGGTTGCCACCAGTGGCGGAGAGTACTAGGGCTGGCGGAGGGGGCAGCCGCAGGCGGCGCAAACTCCTCTACTGGCGCAAGTTGCGCGGGGCATTGCGCGGGATGGTGGACTGGGGGTTGGATTGGCGCCGTTGCGGGGAGCGCGTCGGCGGATGGCGGAGAGGCGGAGGCGGTGAAGACTGCCCTTGCGCCGTCCTTGAGGCGCTGCAGCGTGCGCGCTGGAGGAGGGTAATGGGGGAGAGGGGAGCGGGGAAGGCGCGTGAAGGCATAGGACAGCTGACGTGGCGTGGCCGTGGAGACAGAGCCGGGGGGAGGAGCGGGTGCGAAGGGAACGGGAAGGACCGGGGTACGCGGCTAGCGCTTCGCCGCACTTGGATAGGAGTGATACGGACGGGCAACATGAGTCGGACTATTGCGCCTTAGGTCCCTCCTTAAGACGTCTGCTAAATTACGCCATGTCGCAAGCATGGACCCATGCACGCCTGTGTCAGCGCGAACATGCGTACCCCAAATAGCAACCTCGTCGAGCCGCGTGACCTTCTCCTTGCCCCGGTGCGCGAAGGCGGCGTGCGGGTCGTGGCGGCACAGCCCGCGTTTGCCCAGCATTGACATGGCGCTGCCTCGATGTGCGCGGAAACTAGAGATTGAGACGCAAGAGCGGGAAGCTGGCGGTGTGGTGAAAGGGAGGGAGCTCGGCTTGGAAGAAGTTGGAACTTGGAATGGTTCGGCGGACAGAATGGGCGAGAAGGAAAACCTTCCAAAATCGAATTTCGAACGTTGAAATGCACTGCGCTGGTGGCTGGGGCTTACACGGGGGCGCGGTCCACAGTTCGTTTGAATGTGCTTCAATTAAGGGTTTGAGGCTGTTACTCAGAATAGAAGCAAGTATAGATTGCTTGGATAAGGTTTTGACCACTCTAGTAAGCAGTCAAACGCTGCCTAGTCTCAATGCCCAATGCAGGTGTTGAACAATGTAGTAGCTGTAACGTATGATTGGTGAATACTGACTTTATCTTAATGCTGTATCCAGTATATTGGTGAATACTGACGACTAGATACAAAGAGTAAGGCTTGACCATTGTAACCCAACTTGTAATAAGATTTTCCAGCTCGAAATAATGAAGACACGGGATGTTCTTGGTGTGGTTCACATTCAAATGTCTCTGTTACATAAATGCTATATAGAGACATACTACAGAGAGTGCAGATTGATCTTCCACCCCGAGCTCATCCCGCCACTAATGGTTTCGAAGCATTCCCTAGACACTGCCGTCAAAGTCGCTTCAAAACGACTACTTGGCAGTCACTTCCCGCCATTTCGAGGTACGACGAGTAATCCGAGGCTTTCGGTTCGGCGGCGTCTGTACATCCGCCGTAAATACGTTTAGTGTCATTGCGACTCCCAAACCGCCTCCGCCTTCGCACACGCGGACCGTCGCGAGCAGCGAGAGCAGGAATGACAGACCTTATGCTCGCTACTCCTACCGGCAAATTCGCTTGGCCAGCAGGCTTGGTCAAAATGGACTATCCACACCGCCAGATAAAGGCAAGCCACCGGGCTGCACCGCTCTGCAAGGTCCCCGGAGGCCACGGCCAGATAGCTTCGGAAATAGTTTCGTTCCCTTTCGCGTTTCGCGAAACCACATGAGCATCCGCACACCGACAGCGCACAGGTTCGTTCTGCCCGTGCCTGCCCGCTGCGTGAGTTCCCAGTGCGGGTCGCTTAGCAACTCCTCCCTGCGTTATTAGCTTAACCGGCAGGTTCGGATCGAATGGACGAGCCTCACCGTCTGAACAAGGCAATCAACCGGACTGAACCGTTTTGTCACTTCCCCGGAGGCTACGGCCAGAGGCTTGCCACTGCTTCGGAAATAGCTTCGTTCCCCTGCGAGTCCGCACAGCAACTGCGGGATCAAAGTTCGTCTGCCCGTCCCTGCGCGCTGCGTGAGTTCCCAATGCCTCAGCTCTCCTCCACCCCGCCTTGTCGCAGCAACCCTCTCTCGCTCTCCCCCCGTCGCCTGCGATCGCCTCTGCAAGTACAATTCCGCACTCCCTCTACTCACTCTCATTTGTCGCTCCAACTTCTATTCTCCAGATCTTGATCGTCAGTTTCACACTCTCAATTCTCAGTTGCTCTCAAGCCAGCTCTCGCAGTTTCGAGATCCCACAGCTGCACCATTACTATCCTAGCCGGATCATTCCGGATTCTCTCCAATACTCCTAGTTGTTACAATCATCAATTTTGAACTCGCCTTTCGGCAGCCCGCTCGATATCCTCTAGCGTTCTTCCTCGAATGGCCGTCGCGTCCGCGCGTGCATGCACCTCGTCGACCGCTGACTACCCGTTGTTCGCGGAAGCGCTGCGCGCCTGGAGGAGCCGCGAAGGGGTTAACCAGCCCCCCGTGCAAGTTGAAGTGACGCTGAGCCCCGCGACTGCACGCGCGGTGCCTTGTGAACCAACCCTTAAAGTTGAAGCGACTGTGGAGTCCACTTTTGAGTCGCCGTCGGAGTCGACTTACCAGGCGATTCCTGAGGAGATTTCCGAGTTGACTCCCCCGGCGATTTCTGAGGCGACTTGTGAATCGACTCACGAGCAGTTCCAGCTGCAAGTGACGCTGAGCTCCGCGCCTGCTACAGTGGAGGTGGAAGATTCGCGGAGTGACTGCGAGCAAACGAGCAGTGGCAGCGACTACAGCAAGGAGACGATTTCTGTCAGCAGCAGCAACGACGCGAGTTGTGACACGCACGTGGAGATATACGGTGCTGACGCAAGCCCTAACGCACTGCCAGCCTCCCTTGTGCTGCTGCTGCACTCGCTGCTGTTGTTGCTGCAGCTGCACTTGCTGCTCGCGTCACTGCTGCTGCCGCTGCTGAGAGTGGTGCTGCCCTGGTGGATTCCCAAGGCAGGCAGCACAGGAGCGCGTGTGAAGGTGGGTGGTGTGGAGGAGGAGGCATGGAATGCACGTGGTGGTGCTCTAGCCCACCAGAAGCCTACAGCAAGCAGCATGAGGCAGCAGCAGGAGATAAAGCACGCTCTGAAGTGCAGTGGGAGGAGGAACGCTGGCAGCACCACCAAGGCAGCAACAAGACGTCCTTCGAGGCCTTGATTCTGCTGGCGCTACAGAATCAAGCGCAAGGTAAATATTTATCTGTGGAAAAGCAGAAGAGAAACATCTCCAATGGCTAGTACCGGTACTTGAGCCTGTGTCTGATAGCTGTGTGCAATCTTGTACTATATACTGCATTATGTGCATGTATTGGCTGTCAAATGTGTGAACAAATGTGGGCACAGTAGGCTTGCCAAGTGCACTGTTACCGATGCATATTTTTTCCAACAGAATTACATACAATTCTCATGGTCTTCTGAACCAGAATGTATATGTTAATGAAGCTGTGTTGTGTGCTCATTTCTGGCTGCAAGGCCCTATTAAATAGTTAGAGAAATTTCAGATTGCCCTGCCTATATCTGAAACACCAGAACAAGTCAAGGCTGTTGGAGATTGCCCCACTTCCTAACAATAACACTAGAAAAAACAAATTCTATGTGCGAAACCACCTACCAACTTTCCAAACATAAGCAGCACCAGAAACGGCGCTCTCTCTACACATTGTCTGTAGCACACCGTTCCCACCTGCCAGACACCTACCACGCAACTGCCCCAGATGCTGCTTTAAATCAACAGCATCTTCTAACTATGCCCCCACGGCATATGACAGCCTCTGAACGTCCCTACCACCAGCACAGCGCTTGTTGTGCTGGTGGGTGCAGCAGGCACGCCATCTGCTGTGATGTGACCTAACACGGACCACTCGCGGCTGGGGAAACACGGGCAGCAAGGCCCGTGGGATGAGGCAGACGGTGCGTTTAAGTAAAAGGTAGGATGGTGGCGGCTAGTCCTTGAGAATTCCCAGGATGTCGTCGTCCCTGAATAGCACGTACCTGCATTGTGGCAGCACGGGAGGGGGGTTTGGGGGGAACGAGGGACGGAGGGAGGGAGGGAGGGAACAAGAACAGGGGGGCGGAGGGCACGGAGGGAAGGAGGGGGGGAAGGGTGAGGCTATGTATAACAAGGCAAACAGGTTCGTGGATAGAGAGAAAGAGCGAGAGAGAGAGGGAGAGAGAGAGAGAGAGAGAGAGAGAGAGAGAGAGAGAGAGAGAGAGAGAGAGAGAGAGGAGAGAGAGTTGATGGTTGGTGGAAGGGGAAAGGGAGGGGAGGAGGTGTGTTGGGGGGGGGGGGGGTTGTGTGGGTGGGGGAGGGGGTGAGGGGGTGAGTGGGGGGGGGAGGGGTTTGTGGGCGGAGGGCGGAGGGGGAGTTGAGGAAGAGCGAGCACAGGCAATCCAAGGAAGCCAAGGACGAAAGCAAGAAGCCAAGCAGCCGATAACCCACGTAGCATGAGCGGCGCCAATCAGATCTCCCCGATCCTCGAGCCCCGCTCCAGGACGGGGCAGAGCAGAGGAAGGGAATGACGTTTCCTGCACACGAGGTGCACGCTGGGGGGACGGAGGCGCCGAGCGCTGTCGCAGATAGACCGCAAGCTCTATATCCGAATGGGATTCGCCCTAGCGATGACGCAAAGGCATCGGTGCTTCCGCAAGAAGGGTGCACCAAGCACAACCGAGCACACGCACACTTGCTGCTGCGACGCCGCGAACGGCACGGACAACTAGCAGCAGCAGCAGCAGCAGCAGCGGGGGGATGGGGGGGGGGGCAAGGGGCGGCACTCACTCCTTGTCGTCGAGCTTGATCTGACTGCCGCCGTACTCCGGCAGCAGCACCGTGTCGCCCTCCTTCACCGCCGTGGGGATCACCGTGCCGTCCCGCGTGCGCCCCCCCGCGCCCACCGCCACCACCTTGCCCGTGTTCAGCTGCGCGCGAGGGGGAGGGAGAGACGGAGGGCGGAAGGCGAAGGGGAGCGAGGGGGAACAGGGGAGAGGAGGGGCGAGAGCCAGAGGGATGAGCAGAAGGGATATGAGGGATGCAAAGGAGATCGATCATGGAGATTCACGGCATCCTTCATGGAGAATCTCCGTGATCGATCATGGAGAGATCCCTTGCACGCGGGTGTCGAACGCGAACTACCAACTCGCGTCGCGACCGCGATCCATCTGCTCATCGCGACAACGTCGGCGGATTCGGCGGGAGAATCAAACACACGACGGTAGACAGGGGAGGGGGAGGCGCACCTGCGACGCGGTGGCTGACTCGGCAGGAGAACCCCGCCGATGGACTTGCTGGGCGGAATGATCTTCTCGACGAGCACGCGATCCAGAAGCGGGATCAGGCGTTTGGCCATGGCGGGCACGCGCGACGCACGCGGATGAGCGTGGGAAGAGACAGGGAAGCGAAGAGGGGATGGCGAGAAGGGTGTTGTTGCTGGCTGAAGGCGAGATGGTGAAGGGGAAATGTTGGGGGTGGTTATTGCAGCGGAATTGTGCGTATAGCAGGGGGTAGAGGGGTTGGGTGGGGGAACGAATGTTCGAATGTGACTGTACGGGCGACGCTGACTCTGCGGTTGCCGCGTGGCGCCTGGCGGAGCACCAGCGGTCGAAGAACCTTCTCATGTATCTCCGTTTGTAGCTCCAACTTCTAGAAGTTACGGAGAAGGAAAACGAAGTATGAAAAGAGATAGGATATCTTGTGTAAATTGGTACTCTTTGTATGATTTTGCGCTTTTGCATACAAACTTAGATTTTGTTCAGGTTACATAAAAAAAGACATGAGGCTTACAATAATTTCTTTTTTTGGCGCATAACGTTTAGATTGTATGGGTTGCAATCACATGCATAAAGGCTCAGATTTACCACCGGGGTTAGAATGAAGTGGAGGAACATAAGATATAAAGAGCGACTTTCTATGCTTTCGTAAAAAAGTTGCATTGTCGTCTCTGTCAGTATCGGGACACCTGTTTCAGAAGTCCTGTTTCAGAAGTTGTCCTACAGACCAAACCTGCTCCTCAGCCTCACTCGAGAGCAGCCCGCGCTCTGCGCAAATCGTCTCTTAGTGCCACGCCCTCATCCATCTCGCTTTCATACCGCCGACACCTTCCCCGTCGTTGTCCTCCGTTCTACCTCCCGCCAAACGTATCCGCTCCCGCCGAAAGAGCCGTGCGAATTCGTAACCGACGGTATCGAAGCAGCTTGTAATGGGGTGGGTGCCCTCGCTCACTCTGCGCTGCTCGTCCTTCGCGCATCCCGCGCAGCGCCACCTCCGCGACCTTTCCGACTTCCCCCTCCGCTGCGCGCTCGAGCTGCTGCTTTCCCTCCCCGCGCCTGCCGAGCCTGCCGCGCAGGTACGGCGGCCGCCAAGCGGCTTCCAGTGTCTGCCATCGCCCTTTCGCTCATCTAGCGCATGGCCCCGCAACACAATGACGCGGATTGAATCCCGTTCGAGTCCCTTTGCCCCAACCATTCCATACGTTCTCCCCCCTTCCCACATCCCGCCCACCCCCCTGCCCCCTCTCCGTCCGCCTCTCCGTCGTCTCTTCCGTCCGCTCCTCCCTTCTTCTCTCTCCCCCCCCCCCTCCCTCCCGCCCCCCCTCTCCTTCTTCAACCCCTCCCCCGTGCGTGCGCAGGCGGCGGTGGCGGCCCTGGCTGCCACGGTGGACACACTCACCTCCGCGGGTTACCACGTCATCCGCGGGCCGCTCGGCGCGCTGCTGCAGCCCGCGTTCCTGGACGCGCACGTGCGCGCGCGCAACGGTGAGGGGAGGGGAGGGCAAGGGGGAGGGAGAAGAGGGGTTTGGGGTTTTGAGCGGGTTCAGTTTTTCAGGATATAGGAGCAAGGAGAAAAAAAAAATGGAGGGGGTGGTTGGAGGGCGATTCGGGGAAGAGCGGGCGAGGGGAACGAGGGAATGAAAGGATGAGATTGGGGGGAGTATGCTTTGATGCCCCACACACACGGCACACGGGGCGAGGGCCGAGGGGCGAGGCAAGAGGTGAGCGGTGCTTGTACAAAGAGGACTGGGTGTACGACGAGAGACGGGTGCGGTGCACAATGGGAGATGGGTAAGGTGGAGGAAAGGTGGCTGGCGGTATGGCAGGCAGGAGGAGGTTAGAGTGTGTTGCCCAGGAGGAGGAGGAGAGCAAGTGGCCGACTTGACTTGTGTTGCTGTTTGTTGCTACTGAATCACTCTCCTCCATCTCTCAGCCACTCCCACCCCACCCGCTTCTTGCTCCGTCACACCAATTTTTTTCCACCTCCCTCACCCTTCCCTTCACTTGCTCCATTTCACTTCCACCCCTCCTCTCCCCTTTCTCCCCCTCCTTCCCCCCACCTCCTCTCCCTCCCGGCCCGCTCCCCCGGCTCCTTGTTTCCCTCCTCTCTGTCCCTCCTCTCCCCGTCTCCCCCCTCTTCCCTTCTTCCCCCCCCCCTCCTCCCCCCTCCCCCCTCCCCCCTCTCCCTCTCCCTCTTCCCCCAGTGGAGTTTTCCCTGCTGAGCCTCAATGCAGCGGCCTCTGCCCTTCCACATGCGGATGTCATCAGCATCACACCCTCTGGTACGGTATGCTGTGCGGTTGTGCGTCATGAGGGTAGTCACTTCACCTTATCTACCCCAATGTAACCTAACTCAACCTCATGTCAAGTCACCTGCCTTTGGAACCCTGCGCAGCGCTTGCAATGCTGCTGCTACATGTTCAAGGCAGATTTTGGTGTTCTCTTCCCTTCACCATCCCCTTTTGCCCACCAAACTGCTTTCCCGCTCCGTCCATCTCTCCCCCACCGTCTGTTTCTCTCGCTCTCACACACGCACACTCCCTGTCACCCTCCTTACACATCATCCGTCCTGCACCCATTCTCCCTCCCTCTCACTCTCCTTCCCTCGCCCTCTCACCCTGTCTCGCCCGCCCACACAGGCCAGCTGCGCATGGCAGTGGGCAGGGACACATTCCAGCGCCTGGGGTTGCCAGGCAAGGCGTCAGCAGCAGCACGGGCGAGCAATACTGTGAGTCACCCACTCACCCACGCATCACGCCCATCACGCCCATCACGCCCATCACGCCCATCACGCCACTGACGTGGCCTACGTAATTCGAGAATCCTCAAAGGTGGTTCTGCCCCCATCTTGCATTCAGCTACCTCCTCCAGTGGCTCTCTCGCTCGCGTCATTGCGGCAGGCAGCTGCAAATGCTCTTCTGAGACCGCTCTTCTGAGACCGCTCTTTTGGCAGTGCAAACTCCTCTCCATTCCATCCAGCAAAAGCATCGCCAGTACTGATTCCGCCGCTGCGCTATTTCTTTCTCGCTTCTCCTGTGCCCTTTACGACATGACTTTTGAGTCGACTCAAAAGTCACCTTGTTACAATGCCCTTTACGACACCACCTCCCATCTTTCATTCACCTGCCTCCCCCGCCCCGACCTCCGACCTCCTCTCCTCTCCCTCGCGCTCTCCCTCCCCTCGCCTGACTCCCTGCCTTCCGTCCGCCCATCCCGCCCTGCGGTGTGGCAGTGATCTGTGTGGACCTGTGTGCGCCGTCCTTTAATCCCGGCAAGAAGCTCCACGACAGGTCAGCCAGTCAGTCAGTCAGTGTGCAGGGCGGGTTGGGATCACCTTTGAAATGTTCCCATACATGATTCAGGCAGGCAGTGATCTGTGTGGACCTGTCAAATGTGTGCGGCGTCCTTCAAGCCTGGCAAGAAGCTGCACGACAAGGTCAGCCAGTGCGCGTGCATTGCAGATTGGGATCACTTCTGAAATCTCTCGAGAGTAATTCAGGCACTGATCTGTGTGGACCTGTCACCTGTGTGCGCCATCATCCTTTAAGCCCCGGCAAGAAGCTGCACGACAAGGTCAGCAGCGCGATGGGCGCATGGGGGGCAGCGGAGTGCGGGAGATATGTGGCAGGACGGGATGCGGGATGGGGGATGGGGGTGGGTGAGGGTGGAATGGGAGAGGATAAGTGGGCGGGGAGTGGAGGGGGGAAGTAGAAGGAGGGAGCGGAGGGAAGAGCGAGGAGATGCCCGCTGTGAAACAGAGGAGGTGGAGGAGGGCGATTTGGTTATCAGGGAGGTGCATGGGAGTGAGTGTGGGGTTAGAAGCCAGGCCACGACTGAGAGCACACTCGCGAGCACATGCCAACTGCACTCACTCTGCATCACGTCCGGTATACCATCCGCCTTCCTGCCATCCCATTCGTTCCACCCACCTCCACCCATCTCCACCCTCTCCTCTCTCCCCCTAGGTCCTGGAGCGAGTGAGTGAGCTCATCCCGCCTCACTGGACTACCTCTGCCTTTTCACACGCGGTAAGCACAGCCACACCACACCACCCTATCCTGCCCCTTGCGCGGTGGTCACCACAATCCCTGCCACCTCCGGCCCTCACACAGAACAAACAGGGCCCTCGGCATATGGTTGTGTGTATCACGCGGTGTGTAATCTTCTCCACATCCCCTGCACCAGATGCACCAGATGCACCAGATGCCTAGATGCACCAGTTTGTGCATGGGTACTTACGGCCATCCATCCCTGCCTGCCTCTGGTCCCCAGTAAATGAAACAAAACTGCGCAGTCCATACCATACTGTACCGTACTGTACCATACCATACTATAACCATACCATACCGTACCGTATCGAGCGCAATGATACTTGAGGCGCCCCAAAACTCATCTCTCTGCAACAACCTTCCCCCTTCCCTTCACCCCCCTTCCCCCTTCTCCGCTATACCTTCCCCCTCATCTTTCTCCAGACGGTGTGCCCCAGCCCATTGACTTCCCTCAGCCAATCACAGCCCGCCACGTGCCCTTCTCTGCCATCCACCGAGCCCTCTCCCCTGCCGCCTGCCGGATGCCGACAAGCTCTTCCAGATTGCCACGTCAGCAAGCAATTTGAGACCGGGGCGAATGAGGGAGAAGGAGAGATGGAAACAAGGGGAGGAGGAGGGAGAGGGGGAGGGGGAGGGGGAAGTGGGAGGGGGAGGGGAGGATATGGAGTGGAGTGGCGGTGAAACGATCTCTCCATACCATTCTGATGCCAAGGGAGTAGGGGGGTGGGGTGGGGAAAGCAAGGGCGGATGGAGGGGAGGAAGGGGTAGGGGAGGGGAGAGCAGGCAGCGCAGGTGCTGGCATGGCAGCAGCGGGGAGATGCATGAATGGATCGGAGCAGCATCGTGTGGCATGACACGACACATGTGAGCCGGCAGTAGCTCATGGAATGGCATGGCTTGGCATGGCATGGCATGGCATGGCATGGCATGGCATGGCGTGGCATGCATTGCAAGTGCTTTGCCTGGTGGATGCGCGCATGTTGGAGGCATTTGCATGCGATGGGATGGCCGATCAGCACACAGTTGGTTGGTGCTGCTAGCATCAGTGCTAGCGACGGCACAAACAGCCGGACGAGTTCAGAGTTCGCCGCACAAGCACAGGGCAAACATCCTGAACCTCTGTCCCTCTCTCCCTCGCCCTCGCCCTCTCCCCTCCTCCCCCTCCCACACACACACTCTCACACACACACACACTCTGACACGCACACTCTCACACACGCGCCAACCCCCCCCACCCATGCGCACATGTATTGCCGTCACAGGAACGAGTGTGCGCGCAGGGTCAACACCGCACTGGAAAACATGCCCTCGCACGCCACATCAGCCCCACCCCTCCCATGACATCAGCCACCCCTCCCATGACATCAGCAGCCCCTCCAATGACATCAGCAGCCAGTGGTTCTGTTCACTCCCTGCGAGTGTGTGGGCCAATCAACAGCTCACAGGTGTGCTTCAACTTCTCGCCACTCTCCTTCCTTTCGCCTGGTTGTATCTTTTCTAGGAGGAATCCTGTGCCGTCACTTCTTTCCTGGTTTCCTTGGGTTCAACTCGCTTGTCATTTGTTTACTCTCGCTCCCTGCCCCCTCTCTCACTCCCTCTCTATCCCTCCCTTTCTCTCACCCCCGTTCTCTCCCTCCTTTTCACTTTCTTCTCTCTCTTCCCCTCCCCATCCCTTTCTTTCTTTCTTTCATTTTTTTTCTCCCACTCCCTCTATCCTCTGCTACAGGTCTTAGCACTCATCGATGCTGCCAGGTATCCTGCCCTCCTCCACCCACTCTCTCTTCCATTTCTCTCCCATTGATCCTTCCGCTGTCACCCTCCCTCTCCACCTTTCTTCCCCCCCCCCCCCCCCCCCCCCCCCTTCTTTCCTACCCTTCCCTGCTCTTCCAACGCCCTCTCCCTCCCTCGCTCCTCTCATTCGTTTGCCGTGCCACCCCACTTCCGAACCCGCCCGTTCCCAAACACCCTCTCATTCCCATGCGGTAAGCATGCAGGGCCACTCTCAAGCACCACAGCGCCTCCTCCTCCCTCCTCCCCCTGGGTGCATGGGCCGTCGTCAACTGCTGGAGTTTTGCCTCCTCTCCCGTGCGTACATGTTGCTCCTCTCTGCTCTGCTCCCTATACTTCCCTGTTCGATTGCACTGCACAGCTGCTTGCTTGCTAGTGCCAACACTCCCCTACTCCCATCTCTCTCCTGCCCTGATCTCCTCCCCCCCTCCATCTCCCCCTCCCTCTCCCCCCCCCCCTCCATCTCCCCCCTCCCTCCATCTCCCCCCCTCCCCCCTCCCTCCATCTTCCCCCTCCCTCCATCTCCCCCCTCCCTCCATCTCCCCCTCCTTCCGTCTCTCCCCTCCCCTCCTCCACCTTACCAATCCCTCATCTTCCCCCCCCCCCCCATCTCTTCCCCCCCCCCCATCTTCTTCCCCCCCCCATCTCTTCCCCCCCCCCATCTCTTCCCCCCCCCCATCTCTTCCCCCCCCCCCCATCTCTTCCCTCTCTCGATCCTGCCTCCCCGCAACGCTAACTCTCCTCGCTCCACCTCCACCTCTACCCTCTCCACACTCTACCCTCTCTCCCCTCTCCCCTCTCTCCACCTCTACCCTGCCCTCGTCCCCCCCCTGCGTGCAGGCTGAGAAGCAGGATGCACGGCGGAGGGAGTCGTGCGAGGTGGGGGAGACACAGGCGTTTGTGCTGCTGCCCTGCGACCGTTACTTGCTCTTCTCGTGCGTGCTCCAGGGAGGGGGCGGCACGGGGGTGGCATGGGGCAGCATGGGGGCAGCATGGGGGCAGCACTGGGACAACATTTGCCCACATGCACATGATGTCACAACCAAGCCCATGCACTTACGCAGGATTGCCCTAATGCCCTTTCCCTATGTGTCTCCACACATCAACACCCATCCCTGTCCATCCCCATCCCTCTGCAACCCTGTGCCCACATCCCCGGCAGCACCAGATAGGCACCACTGTGCCTCATCTCTAGTCCACGCAGCACAGCCACACTCTCAGGCTGGCAGGCGTGCAGCGGGTGGGCCAGCACGGGTTGCCCTGCGCCTTGCACTGCCACACTGCGATACTGCCTTGCACCAGCCTCCTGGGTGGGTGGGTGAGCACACAGCACTGCGCGAGTGCTGCCAGCCAAGCTGAAACTGCAGCTGCCATGCTGTGCTGTACTGTGCCAGGCGACAGCAGAGGCGAATGTCACAGTAGTTGCTTGGATGCAGTGGGTGTGTGTGCGGCTGTAAGGGCAACCCCGTGCATGTGTGGTAGTTTCGCTGCCCGATGGATCGTCAATACCGTAATCATCTTCAAGAATTAGTTCACAGTTGAATGGATCCATCATGGGTAGATTTCGCATCATGGCCTGCAAGTGTATCTCTCCTGAGTTTCGCTGTGGCAATTGTGTGTGTTGACTTCGTGCGTGGTGTGGAGCCTGGCAACACCGTGTCGCTGCGGGGGGCACACCTCTCAAATAAAACAGTTCTCCAATCCGATCCCCTTCAACTCACAATCGCGCAACTCCAATCGATATTGGTATTAACGAACAACCCAGCCACGTAGATATAAAGTATGATAAAAACACGCCGTTTGTGTTGTGCATGTCACGTCAGTACACCTGGCGCACGTTGACATTGATTCGCAGAGCAGGCAGCAGCGCGCGCATGGGAGCAGGAGCAGGCCCCAGCAGAGAGCGGAGCGAGGAGCTCAGCAGGGATGTGTGCCTCGTGCGGGTCGGAATAGATGCGCGGCACTCCTGATGGGAGGCGGGGGAGGGAGGGAAAAGGGGAGGGAGGGAAGGGGGGAGAGAATAGGGGGGTCTTTCAAGGCGCGCCTCAAAAGCGATGTCTGCTTCGTGCGGGTCGGAATAGATGCGCGGCAATCCTGATGGGGGGAGAAGAGGAGCACAGGGAGTGGATATGGGGGTCTTTTTGAGGTGGCTTGAAGGATCTCAGCAGCAGGATGTCTGCCTCTTGCGGTCGGAATAGATGTGCGGCACTCCTGATGGGGGCGGGAGGGAGGGGGAAGTAGGGGGTGGACAAGGGGGGCTTTTGAGGGCCTCGAATGAGCTCAGCAGGGATGCCTGCCTCTTGGGGGTTGGGAAGATGCGAGGGTGAACTCCTCAGAGAAAGGAGGGAGGGGGCAGGACAGGGGGGGACATGGGGAAGGGTGAAGGGGATGGGAAGGGGCGTGGGGAGAACGGGGAGGGGGCAGAGAGGAGATGGGAGGATTTGAGGGAAGGGGAAAGGTGAAAGGGAGAGGGGGAGGGAAAAGGGGGAGCGGAGAGAAAGATGCACACACACACACTAACACACTCAGACAGCCAACTGTCACACGTTAACTCTGCCGAATGGTGCAAACCACTTCCTTCGCAAGATCCCAGATCTATGCACGCATACACACATCAAAGCAAACACACATACATTCACACCCAACCCTGCTCCCGCCCCAACTCCCCCCACTCCGCCCACCCCACCCCCACCCTCACCCCCCCACCCCCCCCAACTCCAACTCCATCCCCATCCCCCACCCCCATCCCCACCCCAATCCCCACCCCCATCCCCACCCCCATCCCCACCCCCATCCCCACCCCCATCCCCACACCCCATCCCCACCCCCATCCCCACCCCCATCCCCACCCCAATCCCACCCCCATCCCCACCCCCATCCCCCCCCCATCCCCACCCCCATCCCCACCCCCATCCCCCCCCCATCCCCACCCCCATCCCCACCCCCATCCCCACCCCCATCCCCACCCCCATCCCCACCCCCATCCCCACCCCCGTCCCCACCCCCATCCCCACCCCCATCCCCACCCCCACCCCCCACCCCAACCCCCACCCCCCACCCCTACCCCACCCCACACCCATCCACGCACCATGGAAGCACTCCCTGCAGGGCCGGCCATGAGCAGCACATCGCCACTGCGCACCACCACTGCCACGGGTGCCTCGTCGCGCGTGCACCCGCCCAGCAGAACACACCGCCTTGCACCCCAGACTGCGGTGGCGGGCCGGGGGATACACCGCAGTCAGGGGGAGAGGGGGAACGGGGGGGGGGAGGGGGACATAGGAGGGGAGAGGGGGAAACGGGAGAGAGAGGGGGAAACGGAAGGGAGAGAGCGGCACAGGAGTGAGAGTATTTTGAGAAACCTTAGACCCCCCAAAAGAAAAACGGCTGTGCACCCGAGACGGTGGTGTGCAGTGCAGGGCCACACAGCACAGGCGGACACGGAGGAATGGGAGGAACGACCAGAGGTAGAGGAGGGGAGGGGAGGTGTGAGCTGTGAAAGAGGTGAATTGAAAGGGGAATAAGTTGAGACAGTGAGGTGGGGAGAAATGAAGAGAGCGGAAGAGCATGGGAGGGAAAGAGCATGGGGGGGGAGAGCATGGGGGGGAAGGCGAGGGGTGTGCCGATGGAGACATGGCGATGGCGGTATGTGAGGGAGGGCTGTGCTGGGGGTGGGGGAGGGATGCGCTGCGCGCCCTCTGGTGGTGGTGGTTAGCTGCCCACCTGATGCTGACGATGGGCTTGGTCCAGTCCGCCTCCATGTCATCCACATGCCCGCCCAGCATGTCGCCTGCCATTCGCCATGGCGACACAAGGGCACGAGAGGTGGGGAGGGGACGGGACGGGACGGGACGGGAGGGGAGGGGACGGGACGGGACGGGAGGGGAGGGGACGGGACGGGACGGGAGGGGAGGGGACGGGACGGGACGGGACGGGACGGGACGGGACGGGACGGGACGGGAGGGGAGGGACGGGACGGGACGGGACGGACGGGAGGGGACGGGAGGGGACGGGACGGGACGGGAGGGGAGGGAGGACGGGGGGAGGGGAGGGGACGGGACGGGACGGGACGGAGGGGAGGGAGACGACAGTGGGACATGCAGTCAGCTATGTCTAGAGTAACAGAGAGGTGGGTGTGCACTTGGGTGGATGCAGGGAGGAAGCGGGCAAGACAAGGTGCACACTTGCTGCAAGGGAGAACACAAAGTGTGTAACCCACGCATGACTACCACACACCCACGCATGACTACCACACACCCACGCATGACTACCACACACCCACGCATGACTACCACACACCCACGCATGACTACCACACACCCACGCATGACTACCACACACCCACGCATGACTACCACACACCCACGCATGACTACCACACACCCACGCATGACTACCACACACCCACGCATGACTACCACACACCCACGCATGACTACCACACACCCACGCATGACTACCACACACCCACGCATGACTACCACACACCCACGCATGACTACCACACACCCACGCATGACTACCACACACCCACGCATGACTACCACACACCCACGCATGACTACCACACACCCACGCATGACTACCACACACCCACGCATGACTACCACACACCCACGCATGACTACCACACACCCACGCATGACTACCACACACCCACGCATGACTACCACACACCCACGCATGACTACCACACACCCACGCATGACTACCACACACCCACGCATGACTACCACACACCCACGCATGACTACCACACACCCACGCATGACTACCACACACCCACGCATGACTACCACACACCCACGCATGACTACCACACACCCACGCATGACTACCACACACCCACGCATGACTACCACACACCCACGCATGACTACCACACACCCACGCATGACTACCACACACCCACGCATGACTACCACACACCCACGCATGACTACCACACACCCACGCATGACTACCACACACCCACGCATGACTACCACACACCCACGCATGACTACCACACACCCACGCATGACTACCACACACCCACGCATGACTACCACACACCCACGCATGACTACCACACACCCACGCATGACTACCACACACCCACGCATGACTACCACACACCCACGCATGACTACCACACACCCACGCATGACTACCACACACCCACGCATGACTACCACACACCCACGCATGACTACCACACACCCACGCATGACTACCACACACCCACGCATGACTACCACACACCCACGCATGACTACCACACACCCACGCATGACTACCACACACCCACGCATGACTACCACACACCCACGCATGACTACCACACACCCACGCATGACTACCACACACCCACGCATGACTACCACACACCCACGCATGACTACCACACACCCACGCATGACTACCACACACCCACGCATGACTACCACACACCCACGCATGACTACCACACACCCACGCATGACTACCACACACCCACGCATGACTACCACACACCCACGCATGACTACCACACACCCACGCATGACTACCACACACCCACGCATGACTACCACACACCCACGCATGACTACCACACACCCACGCATGACTACCACACACCCACGCATGACTACCACACACCCACGCATGACTACCACACACCCACGCATGACTACCACACACCCACGCATGACTACCACACACCCACGCATGACTACCACACACCCACGCATGACTACCACACACCCACGCATGACTACCACACACCCACGCATGACTACCACACACCCACGCATGACTACCACACACCCACGCATGACTACCACACACCCACGCATGACTACCACACACCCACGCATGACTACCACACACCCACGCATGACTACCACACACCCACGCATGACTACCACACACCCACGCATGACTACCACACACCCACGCATGACTACCACACACCCACGCATGACTACCACACACCCACGCATGACTACCACACACCCACGCATGACTACCACACACCCACGCATGACTACCACACACCCACGCATGACTACCACACACCCGGCATGACTACCACACACCCACGCATGACTACCACACACCCACGCATGACTACCACACACCCACGCATGACTACCACACACCCACGCATGACTACCACACACCCACGCATGACTACCACACACCCACGCATGACTACCACACAACACCACGCATGACTACCACACACCCACGCATGACTACCACACACCCACGCATGACTACCACACACCCACGCATGACTACCACACACCCACGCATGACTACCACACACCCACGCATGACTACCACACACCCACGCATGACTACCACACACCCACGCATGACTACCACACACCCACGCATGACTACCACACACCCACGCATGACTACCACACACCCACGCATGACTACCACACACCCACGCATGACTACCACACACCCACGCATGACTACCACACACCCACGCATGACTACCACACACCCACGCATGACTACCACACACCCACGCATGACTACCACACACCCACGCATGACTACCACACACCCACGCATGACTACCACACACCCACGCATGACTACCACACACCCACGCATGACTACCACACACCCACGCATGACTACCACACACCCACGCATGACTACCACACACCCACGCATGACTACCACACACCCACGCATGACTACCACACACCCACGCATGACTACCACACACCCACGCATGACTACCACACACCCACGCATGACTACCACACACCCACGCATGACTACCACACACCCACGCATGACTACCACACACCCACGCATGACTACCACACACCCACGCATGACTACCACACACCCACGCATGACTACCACACACCCACGCATGACTACCACACACCCACGCATGACTACCACACACCCACGCATGACTACCACACACCCACGCATGACTACCACACACCCACGCATGACTACCACACACCCACGCATGACTACCACACACCCACGCATGACTACCACACACCCACGCATGACTACCACACACCCACGCATGACTACCACACACCCACGCATGACTACCACACACCCACGCATGACTACCACACACCCACGCATGACTACCACACACCCACGCATGACTACCACACACCCACGCATGACTACCACACACCCACGCATGACTACCACACACCCACGCATGACTACCACACACCCACGCATGACTACCACACACCCGGCATGACTACCACACACCCACGCATGACTACCACACCACCACGCATGACTACCACACACCACGCATGACTACCACACACCCACGCATGACTACCACACACCCACGCATGACTACCACACACCCACGCATGACTACCACACACCCACGCATGACTACCACACACCCACGCATGACTACCACACACCCACGCATGACTACCACACACCCACGCATGACTACCACACACCCACGCATGACTACCACACACCCACGCATGACTACCACACACCCACGCATGACTACCACACACCCACGCATGACTACCACACACCCACGCATGACTACCACACACCCACGCATGACTACCACACACCCACGCATGACTACCACACACCCACGCATGACTACCACACACCCACGCATGACTACCACACCACAACACCCACGCATGACTACCACACACCCACGCATGACTACCACACACCCACGCATGACTACCACACACCCACGCATGACTACCACACACCCACGCATGACTACCACACACCCACGCATGACTACCACACACCCACGCATGACTACCACACACCCACGCATGACTACCACACACCCACGCATGACTACCACACACCCACGCATGACTACCACACACCCACGCATGACTACCACACACCCACGCATGACTACCACACACCCACGCATGACTACCACACACCCACGCATGACTACCACACACCCACGCATGACTACCACACACCCACGCATGACTACCACACACCCACGCATGACTACCACACACCCACGCATGACTACCACACACCCACGCATGACTACCACACACCCACGCATGACTACCACACACCCACGCATGACTACCACACACCCACGCATGACTACCACACACCCACGCATGACTACCACACACCCACGCATGACTACCACACACCCACGCATGACTACCACACACCCACGCATGACTACCACACACCCACGCATGACTACCACACACCCACGCATGACTACCACACACCCACGCATGACTACCACACACCCACGCATGACTACCACACACCCACGCATGACTACCACACACCCACGCATGACTACCACACACCCACGCATGACTACCACACACCCACGCATGACTACCACACACCCACGCATGACTACCACACACCCACGCATGACTACCACACACCCACGCATGACTACCACACACCCACGCATGACTACCACACACCCACGCATGACTACCACACACCCACGCATGACTACCACACACCCACGCATGACTACCACACACCCACGCATGACTACCACACACCCACGCATGACTACCACACACCCACGCATGACTACCACACACCCACGCATGACTACCACACACCCACGCATGACTACCACACACCCACGCATGACTACCACACACCCACGCATGACTACCACACACCCACGCATGACTACCACACACCCACGCATGACTACCACACACCCACGCATGACTACCACACACCCACGCATGACTACCACACACCCACGCATGACTACCACACACCCACGCATGACTACCACACACCCACGCATGACTA